AAGTGTGTGTAGGATTTATTTCCTTACATATTTCCTTAGATTTTACACTTGACTTTAGTTAACCCAAACATAGACAAGTAAAATTGTAGTCAGAACACAAAGCAATTTCTTTTACAGAGCTCCTTTAAAAATTAACGAACTACAAGCCATACAGAATTCAAAAGAAGTAAACCACTGTTATAAATCCGAAAGAAAGGGTGCATCTAACGTCATCACTCTTGCATGGTCCAGGCGAGGAACTCTGTAAAGACATTATAACGTGTATAACGAATACGACTATGATGATGGTAATGATGGTTATTACCATCATCAATATTATTATCATTGTATTATTATTACCAATATCATTATTATTATCATTATAGTTATCATTATTATCATTATCATCATCATCATCATCATTTTTATTATTATTATCAATTATTATCATTATCAATATCATTATCATTATTAGTGTTATCAATATCACCATCATTATTATTGTTATCATTATTATTATTATTGTTTTTATCATTATCATTATTATTGTTTTTATCATTATCATTATTATTGTTTTTATCATTATTATTATTATCATCATTATCGTTATTGTTGTTATTATCAGTACTATTATCGTCATAATCACACACACACATTACATTCAATAACATAACCACTGCCTCTACCTGTGCTTAGACGGCCTTGCAACTTCTGCCACATCCGTCCACGTGACAGCACTTCCTGTTGCCGTCACACTCACTGTCGATGTTGCACTGGTGGCTGTGGGTGTAGCAGCTGAAGCCGTAGCTTCCCGGGTCGGGGCATCTGGGTGTGGTTTAAGTACGTCACTTCATTCGTTAGTTTATTTCTTTATGCTTTGATAAATAATCCGTGAATCCACCGTCCCGTACTCACATGTATAGGTGTATATTTATTTTTCCAGTCATCTTTCTATTGATATATGAGGCTGTACAGTATGTATGTAGCATATTTCTACACAGACGTTATATTCGTGATTACTCATATGTACAAACCAAGATACACAACTACACACATACACATACACACAGTGCATAAGCTATATCAGAAAAATCACAATTATTTTGGTTCGTATACAAAAAAAAACACTAGAAAAGTAATTCAGGGAATCTCGGCAAATTGACTATTAACATTCCTTTTTTTTATCTTCTGAAGAAACCCAGAATAGTTTTATTAATTCTATTGCCTATACGTGATATTCTTTATCCTTTATCCATGAAAAAATAATTACCTTGGGTTCATGTTCAGTGTCACGCACTCCTTTCCGCAGCCATTTACCGGGCAGCATAGGTGGCCTTTTCCCTCTCTTTCGCAATCCAAGTCCCTCTGGCACTGGTCGTGGTAGATCAGGCACTGCTTGCCTTGATTCGGGTTCGGGCATCCGGGCCTGAGAAATATAGGTTATAAGGATGAGCAGAAGGGAAATATACGGTATGTCATGAGACGCAAAATGTGATATGGCATGACTTTTATTTACTTTGTGTGTATTTGTTTATATATACAAGTGATTATATATCTAATTATCAGTTTGCCTTTCTGTCTATACCTCTATTTGTTTACCTATATTCATTTGTGTATGTGTGTGTGCGTGTACATATTTATATATACATATATATGTACACATACACCACACACACACACACACACACACACACACACACACACACACACACACACACACACATATATATATATACATAATATATATATATATATATATATATATATATATATATATATATATATATATATATATATATATATATATATATATATATATATACGTATATACATATACATATATGAATACACACATTTACATATATGTGTATATATATATATACATATATATATATACATATATATATATATATATATATATATATATATATATATATATATATATATATATATATATATATATATATATATATATATATATATATATATATGGGATGAGTAGAAAGTAAAAATGTCATGAGATGAGTAATGCTCCACTATAATATTGTTATTTGATGAATTCGTGTATGTTACTCTATAGAAGTCAGAGACTCGATCTCCAAGCTGAAGGGTGGTAAAGCAGCAGCCGAAAGGCTAAGGTCTGGTAGTGAACCCACATCTCGTAGATTACAAGCTGTACGGGTGTCATGTGGTAGTCTGGGGTTTTACCAGTCACTGAGGCATTGCGCTGCTCACCTACTGAGGCACCAGATACCACAGCAATCTGAATCAATTTCTGGCATTTCCACAAAGAGCCATATTTTTGCTCTTCCAAAGGCAGTTGAGAGCCCCGAGGAGAGTTCGTGTGTGGAATGCTTGCAGCTTACATCAACTTCTAAAAGGTATTGGATTCGGTTCACCGAATGTCTGGGACTAGTGGTACTGAAGGTGTGCAAAGTGTGGTAGGGTCACGTGTAGCTGTTTCCCGTGAACTGAAGAATGGCACAAGGCTGTCTGCTTGCAGCACCTGCATGACCTAGATAATGGATTGGTACTGCAGAGCAACAGTAGGTAATATCAAAGTCACTGACCTCCTCTGAAGACTCTATTACCAGAGAAGTGAAGCCCTTGGGTCTAAAAGACTCTTGGACCATTATCCAGGACTTGGGGTCTGTTTGGAAAACAGGTCAATGGCAAAGCGCTTGCGGTAAAGACTTCGAAGTCACACAGAGCTTTACATATTTGTAAGCGTAGTTCATGACGCTCGGCTGTCGAAGCAGGGAGTCAGTAGACAATGACTATTTATTTTGATTATATGATATTGAATATTCCACAACTTGTCACTACCGGCTTTTAAAGTGTTAGGCCTCTTGGATATATTTAATTGAAAGGCATTGCTCAGTTAGCACAAGCCTGTTATTTCTTGAATTTACTGAGGATAATGGAATGCGAATGCAGCATTGCGCACCTCATCGTTTTTGTTATTGATGTACGTTGTCATTATTATCTTCCTTATTATCATTATTATTATCATTATTATTATCTTTATTATTGTTGTTGTTGTGATTATCATTATGGAGATGTGATGATGATTATTATTATCGGTATTATTATTATTGTTGTTATTATCATTACTATCATCATTACTATTATCAATATCACTATTGTTATTATCATTAACATTATTATTATTGCTATTATCATCATCATCATTATTATTATCATTATTATTATCATTATTGTTATTATTATTATCGTTATTATTATTATTATCATTATTATTATTATTATTGTTATTGTTATTATTATTATTATTATTATTATTATTATTGTTATTATCACCATCATCATTATCATCATTATTGTAATTATAACAATTACTGTTCTTTCCATATTACCTTTGTTGTTTTGTTACCTTTATCACTATTATCATCACTGTTAATGTTATTTCTATTATCAACATCATCGCTATTATCATTATCATTATCATTATTATTATGATTATGATTCTTATGATTATGATTATGGTTATCATTATCATTATTATTATTATTATTATTACCATTATTACTATCAGAATTATCATTATTGTATTATCATCACTATTATTGCCATTATCTTTATTATCCTTATCACTATTATCAGTATCGTCATTATCACTACCACTCATCATAGTATCATATTATAACTATTCTTATCATATCAAGGATTATTAAACGATTACCATTATCAATAACAACAGTATCATCCTCTTTACGACACTTTTTGTCAAACTCCTAGCTTAGTCTTACTTACTTTAGCGGGCCTCTCGTTGCAACTACCATCTGCAAAGAGAAAATGTTCTTGATGAATCCACTGTAAATCATCATTTGGCATTTACAAGTAAGCGCAATCTCACACATATATGTGTGTGTGTGTGTATATATATATATACACAGTATGTATATATATATATATATATATATATATATATATATATATATATATATATATATATATATATATATATATATATGTATATATATTGTATATCATATATATATGTATATATATTGTATATCATATATATATGTATATATATTGTATATCATATATATATACATACACACACACACACACACAACATATATATATATATATATATATATATATATATATATATATATATATATATATATATATATATATATATATATATATATATGAACAGAAACACAGAAGCAGCAAACAATTCATCATTGTTAGTTAACCATGTAACATCACCTCAAGTCACATAAATGTTTTTCATAGTTGCTGCAATAAATCATCATTCATTTGTTCACGAATATTAGGTAATCACGTTTAATTAGCCCTTGACCAATCACAGACTGTTTATGTCCGATACGTTTGATTAGCACTTGTCATTTTCTATCATCTGTTGTAAAATAGCGGTTACCTGTAATCTCAGCCCCGGCAAAGCAGCAAAGGCTGTCAATTTGTCAGCCTCGATTTGTCAGCAGCTATCCTCCCCCCTGGACGCCATCCGCCTCCCTTTCTATCTATCAGCTCGCTCACTTGTTCCAGCTGCCAGCCAGTTCCAGGTGCTTCAGAAGTTAAGAAAAAAAAAAAAAAAAAAAAAATCCGCGTCGAGAGAGGCACCTCCCCACCTAACCAGCCTACGCATCCTGTCGATGACTTGACCATCGCTGCTGCATTGACAGTTGCTGCCATGACCACTCCCTCCAACGCACCCTGGACGACCTCCTCGCCTGGACCACCGCACACCACGCTGCCGTCAACCGCCAGAAGATGGGCGTGATGCAGTTCGATTTCTCCACCAACCGCGCCCCCACGCCCATCCTCACACTGGACAAGCACACGCTCGACATCTCCATCGACGAAAAGCTCTCGTGCAGGCTTCGCATGCTTCGTCGCCTCAAGTCCCTTAGTGTCCCACTTCCGGAGCTTCTAAGTATCTACAGGCTATTCCTCCTGCCCAAATCGACCGACGCCCCACCGCCTGGCCCCCCTCCCTCGGCGGTAGCTCCTAGCTCACCTGCGCTTCCACTTGTCCTTTGCTATTTCAAATTGCTTCATCTGCCTATAGCTTGATTAGTTTAAATATGTGTATGTATATGTCATTTGTCTGTTATCTGTTTTTTCTGTGGATATTTTCGACCTCTGTCTGCATGGAAATGAATAAACCGTTGATTATCATTATTATCTATTATCATAACACACACACAAACACATACACACACACGCGCATACACACACACACACAAATATATATACATATATATGTATCCATATATTGTGTGTATGTATACACACATACACACACACATACACACACACCGATCTACCTATCTATCTATCTATACATATACACATATATACATATATGTACATACATACATATGTATACATATACATATACATATATATACATACATGCATATATATATAAATATACATATACATATACATACACACAGATATATATGATATATTTATATTTTTGTGTGTGCGTGTGTGTACGTGCGTGTGTGTGTGTATGTGTATGTATGCGTGTGTGCGTATGTGTATGTATGTGTGCGCGCGCGCGTGTGTGTGTGAACAAGTGTGTGTGTACGTGTGTATATGTATGTGTGTGTGTGCGGATGCGTGTGTACTGGTGTATGTGTGTGTATATATATGCATATATATACACACATTTATATACATACATACACACACATACACACACACACACAAATATATATATGTGTGTGTGTATATATACATATATATATATATATATATATATATATATATATATATATATATATATATATATATATATATGAAACCATTCATAAGAGATATGTTGTGCTGACGATGATACTCTGAGGGTTTTCCCGGATGCTTCAATCTCATACATGCTGTAATTACAGGTGAGACCTTAACATCCCGACTTACAAACAAATCCGATAGAGAGAGAGAGAGACGGAGAGAGAGAGAGACAGAGAGAGAGAGAGACAGAGAGAGAGAGACAGAGAGAGAGAGAGGGATAAATAGACAGACATGGATAAATAGACAGACATGGATACATAGATAAGTAGATAGAGAGAGAGAGAGAATAGCCACGCGCGATGCTTGGTTATCCCAAACTGCTGCAACATCCGCCTCAAAGGTGACATTCTAACTCGGATTTGTTTGAAAACATCCTCTGGTCTGAAGAGAATTATATTTCTTTTTGAGATAAGAAGAGAGCTTTTACTTTTTCATTCGTAAGCACTAATAACATATTAAAAATGTTAGATGCACAGTTTATAATTAACGATTTGACGTACCAACATACAATCACATACACACAAATACATTTATATCGTTACCTAAACGTAACATAGAAATTGACCCTGGAAACTTAACTGAAAGAATGAATAAAATAGCAACATCTTTGTCCTTGAGCCCATTCTTACATCAGTCAGAGCGCTGGTTGCCAAAACAAGTCAGATTTTCCTCCTCCTCAGACATTCTGGTTAAGTGACATTGAACTTTTTGTTGACAAACAAAACCCCAGTTCTTTTTTATTTATTTATTTATTTATTTGTAAATCTATGACGTTCACGAAGACCTACTTTTCCTCGTGGTGTATTATGTTGAAGAATAGTACACTAAATTAGGAATATGAAAAAGCTTCAGTCAACGAGTATAAAATTTTGTTTACAACAGACCTACACGATTTTATGTTAATGACATTATATTACAAAAGATAAGGAAGCAGTTTGTGAAGAAATAACATTATTGTATTCAAAAGATTGCCAATGGAAGATGGTTTGCGACATATAAGCGAGCTACTGGTAATTCGGATAGTATATGGTTGGGGGTCTTCAGAGGTTCAGTTTCGTTCAGTGGCGAAAAAAGTTCGTGGCGTGGCCGTCCGTGACATGGCCAAGGTGTTCATTAACCCATTGGTGCCGGGGAAAATGAACAAAAAATGGGGAAAATGCTATGCCCACTTTCTATGTTTTTCGTGAAATGTCTGCCGATAGATGGCTCTGCTAGCGCCTGATTTGGAATGGCGGGAAAAACGTATTTTTCACTAGTGCTATGAAAATCGATGGTGTTATTTTTATCATAAACATTATAATTTTTATAATGTTTTTTGACATTAGTAACAGCAAAATAAGATAACGTTAAATATTTCGTAAATCAAAGAAACGGGTAAACGGGCGAGACGGGCGGTGCTCGTAGTTGGCTCATTGGTAATTTAGTACAAGTGTTGCCATCTATGTATAAAAACAATCAAACAAGTACTCACGGTGGGCATAACACGTACGTACACGTCATACCCGGCACCAATGGGTTAAGTACGAATTCACTATCTCGTTTAGTCACTCTTGGACATCCATGCAGGGTAAAGTTAAATTCTTTTGTTATTGGGATTGACGCAGAAGTCTGACTTTATTTTAGGATTTTTATGTGTTTATAGAATTTAATAATGATTTAGAATTAGGTAAATATCGTAAACGTTAATTTATGTTCGGGAATTTATCGCCACATTAGGGACCTACTTCT